CTTCCAGTACAATGTCTAACAGGAGTGGTGAGAATGGGCATCTCTGTTTTGTTCCTGTTCTTAGGAGAAATGCTTTTGGTTTTGCCCATTGACTATGATGTTGGCTGTAGGTTTGTCATATAAGGTTTTTATTATGTTGAGGTATGATCCCTCTATTCCCACTTTGTTGATAGTTTTTATCAAGAAAGGGTGTTGGATTTTGACAAATGCTTTTTCTGCATCCATTGATATGATTATATGATTTTTGTTTCTCAGTTAGTTTATGTGATGTATCACATTTATTGATTTGCGGATATTGTGCCATCCTTGCATCCCCAGAATAAATCCCACTTGGTCATGGTGTATGATCTTTCTAAAGTAATGCTAGATCTGATTTGCTAGAATTTTGTTGAGGATTTTAGCATCTATGTTCATCAGGGATATTGGCCTCTAGTTTTCTTTCTTTCTAATGTTTTTATCTGATTTTGGGATTAGGGTAATGCTGACTTCATAGAAAGAGCTTGGGGGTGTGCCTGCCTCTTGAATTTTTTAGTATATTCTAAGAAGGATAAGTTTCAGTTCTTCTTTGAATGTTTGGTAGAACTCCCCTGTAAAGCTGCTGGACCATGGCTTTTGTTTACTGGAAGATTTTTTATTACTGCTTCAATTTCATCACTAGTTACAGGTCTATTCAGGTTTTGTTATTCTTCCTGATTGAGTTTTGGAAGCTTGTATTTTTTTAAGACTATGTCCATTTCCCTATGTTGTCAGTTTGTTGGAGTGGACTTGTTCATAATATTTTTTACAATCCTTTGAATTTCTGTGGGGTCAGTTTTTACTTCATCTCTTTCATTTCTGATTTTGTTTATTTGGGTCCTATCTTTTTGTTTCTTGGTGAGCCTAGCGAGAGGTTCATCAATTTTATTTTATCTTTTCAAAGAACCAGCTCTTGGTTTTATTGATCTTTTGTATTGGTGTTTGTTGTTGGTGGTGGTGGTGGTTTGGTTTTTGTCTCTATGTCATTTATTTCCTTTCTTCTGCTTATTCTTGTCTTTTCTTGTTTTTCTCTAATTCTTTAAGATGTGGGGTTAGATAATTTATTACCATTTTTTCTTGTTTTTTAAGGTAGGCCTAAAGAGCTATGAACATCCCTCTCAGGACTGCTTTCACTGTGTCCCATAGATTTTTGGATTGTTGTGCATTTCCATTGTCATTTGTTACCAGGATTATTATTAATTTGTTTATTTATTTTTAAGGCAATCAGGCCGGAGGGGAGGGCAGTTGGAGGCAATCATGCTGGCACGGGAGCAGTTTGGTGTTGTTCAGGCTGGTTGGGAAGTGGTTAGGGGGTGATCAGTCTGGCAGGTCGGCTAGGTACCAGCAGTCCCTGTGGGATCGGGCCTAAACCGGCAGTTGGATAACCCCTGAGGAGTTCCAGATTGGAGAGAATGCAGGCTAGGCTGAGGGATATCCTCCCTCCTCAATGCATGACTTTCATGCACTGGGTCTCTAGTTGTTTAATAACATACTATTATATTTAGCCTCCAGGTATTTGATCTTTCATTGTTTTTATTGTAGTTGATTTCTAATTTTATGCCATTGTGATCTGAGAAGATGTTTGATATGACTTCTGTCATCTTGAATTTAAGGAGACTTTATCTATGTCCTAATATGTGGTCTATCTTTGAAAATGTCCTGTGTGCACTTAAGAAGAATGTATATTCTATAACTTTGGGGTGAAATGTTCTGAAGATGTCAATTAGTTCCATCTGATTTAGTGGGACATTTAGGATTGATATTTCTTTGCTGATTTTTTGTTTAGAGGATTTATCCATTGGTATCAATGGGATATTACAGTACCCTACTACTATTATATTGCTGTCAATCTCTCCTTTGATATCTTCCAGAAGTTTTTTTATGTACTTGAGTGCTCCTGTATTGGTGTGTATATGTTTACCAGAGTTACATCCTCTTGTTGAATTGCTCCCTTTAGTATTATGACATGGCCCTCCTTATCTCTTGTTAAGGCCTTCATTTTGAGGTCTATTTTGTCAGCTACTATTTGTATCCCAGCTTTTTTTTTTTTTTCCATTTGCCTGAAAAAAAATTTATCATCCTTTTACTATCAGTCTGTGTGGGTCCTTTTTTTTGAGGGGGGAGACTCTTTTAGACAGCAAATACAGTATATGAGTTATGTTTTCTTATTTAGCTACCCTATGTCTTTTGTTTGGAGCATTTAATCCATTTATAATATATTTAAGGTTATTATTGATAGGTACTTGTTTGTCACCATTTTTATTTTTTATGCCTGTGTTCCTTCTTCCCTTTCTATTTTTTTTTTTTTTAATAGCAGTCTCTTTAGCATTTTTTGCCTTACTGGCTTAGACATAATAAACTGCCTTAGCCTTTTTTTGTATGTGAAGCTTCCAAATTCACTTTCAGTTTTTAATGATATCCTTGCTGAGTATATTTTTCTTGAATTCATTCTCTTTCTTTGTATATTTCATTGCATTCTCTTCTCACCTGATGTGTTTCTATTGAGAAATCAGTTGATAGTCTAATGGGAAATACCTTGTAGGTGACTTTCTGTCTCTCTCTGGCAGCCTTTAAGATTCTTACTCTGTCATTGGTATTTGCCAATTTAAATATGATGTGTCTTGATGTCAGTCTTTTTGGGTTCGTCTTATTTGGGACTGTGTGCTTCCTGGACTTTTATGACTTTTTTCTTCCCAAAATCAGGGAAGTTTTCTGTCATTATTCCTTCAAACAGGTTTTCTATTTCTTGCTGTTTCCTCTCCTTCTGGCGCCCCTATTATGCGGATGTTGTTTCATTTCTTTTGGACGCTCTCCTCCTGCCTTTTAAGTTTGTTTTCTTCCAGCTGCTTGTGGACTCGGTTATTTTTTTCCACCTTGTCTTCTCAAAATCTCATTTCTTAAACGTCTCCCATCTCAAACAATTTGGTTCTCAACCAAAACTTCAGTTATCTATCTGACTGACAACCTCAGTGTAACAAAAAGTGTCTTTGGCAACAAACAAAGTAGAGAATGCTTTTATTGCTGGCAAAATCAAAGTTTAGCACAATTTTAAAACATGAAGGGTGCTAATGTTGCTTTGGGTGTGAAAGTGCTCACAAAACAACATTCTCAGGCATCTGAATAGGTAGAAAAACTTCTGTTGATTGGATAAACAAAAAGCAATTAGCCGGTGATAGCATTTCCCAGGTAGTGAATTATGAAAAATTCAGCTACTTTGGAGTGGTTTTATAAATTTAAAAAATAAGTCTTTATAAACTAAAGGCCCAATGCACAAATTCGTACACGTGTGTGGATGAGGCTGGGCCTGTCAGGAGGAGGACATGGCGAGAGGTTTGCTGGCCGGCTCACCCTGACTGGGGCCCAATCATGGCAGGCCTGGCTGAGGGAAGGGGCCACAGGCATTTGGCTGGTGGAACCCTCTCCTGATTGTGGTTGGGGCCAATTGGGGGTGGGGCCAGCCAGCTCCACCCCTGATGGTGTGTGGAGCCAATTTGGGGTTGGGCTGGGTGGGGGAGAAGCTGCAGGAGGTTGGCCATCCAGCTCTGCCCCCTCTTGGGTTGGGTGGTGATCAGGGGCAAGACTGGCTGGGGGGAGGGGCTGTGGGCTGATCAGGGTGGTGGGGGCTCATCAGTGGTGTGGTCAGGCGGAAGGAGTACAGGAGGTTGGCTGGCTATACCCGCCCCCTATTGGGGTGGGGGTGCAATCAGGGGTGGGCCAGCCAGGGGAGGAGCTGCAGGCCTATTGTGCTGGGGCTGGACGATTGGGGGTGGGACTGGCATTGGAGGGAAGGAAAGGGTCATTTGGCTTGCCATCCTGCCCTTTATCAGGATGAGAGAGTCCAATCAGGGGCAGGCCGGCAGCAGGGAGGGGCTGCAAGGATGGCTGGCCAGCCCCACCCCCTGATAGGCTGATTTGCTGCCCACAATGGCATCATAGTTACCAGTCATTATGATCATTATGGCCATTATGGTCACTGGCTTTTTATATATATAGATAGGTAGTACATTAGACTGTTATGTACTGTATATAAGAAAGGTTAAAACAGGGAATCATTTAGGGGTTTGGATGGATTAATTAAATTTATATTATTTCTAATGGGAAGAAACAATCTGGTTTTTGAACAAATCACTTCTCTAACACCCTTTGGGAATAAAGTTCAAGAAGGTAGGTTCCCCTGTAGTCTAATCTCAGTTTTATTTCTGACTCTTTACTAAATATCATACTTAATACTTTAATGTGCAATAAATTCTATATACTAAATAGTAAAGTGTTTGATGTATACTTTAATATTATAGTACTATCATATAGCAAATATGTTCAATACTTGAGTATATTTGTCTTTAATCAATAAAGCATTCAACTCTATCACCACTGTAATTGCCACCTCCTACCTTAAAAAAAAATGTATTCCAGTTCTTACCTGCTATCCTCCAGCTTCCTTCTGAGATTACCATACTTCCTCTACCAAACTGAATGATCAATACATATGAATCAAGATAAATAGAAGTATCAGTCTATATGAAGGACTGCCTTATATTCACACAAGCAAGTTGTGGCTTATGACCCCTTGCTGGATTATTGGGCCAGTTATTTATATTTAAGGCAAGTGTATGCCGTCCATAAATCTAAATTTTAGCAAGACCTTTATTTTTATTAATTTATTTTTTAGACATAGAGATATTCTTTATTTATTTATATTGTTACATTTATTTCATTCTTGACAGTAATACACATGTCTCCCATTTCCTATCCCTCTCTGACCAGCCCATATGCACCGCCCCCTCCAGGTCTTCATCAACCTATTGTCTGTGTCCATGGGCTATATATATAAGTTCTTTTGGTTATCTGTCCCCATCCTCCCATCCTATATTGAGGTATATCAGTCTATTCTATCCCTCCATGCACTGGGTCTTTTTTTGTTGGTCAGTTCATTTTGTTAGCAAGACCTTTAAATACCATTGTGACAGTGGTCTGATTTATTTCAGTCATGTGACCCATGAAGTGACAGAAGATTTTTCTCCTTGGGATCCAAGAACTGTTGTTATGAAGCAAGATGGTGGAGGCTGCACACCAGCACTGCCCCTACCTGAACTGGAAAGGGAAGAGGAAAAAGAAGACATTTCAGATCCTACAGACCTGAATCCTTGTAGTGCAATATACAGCAACTTAGGTAAGTGCAAATGCCATCCTATCTAATAAAAGACTAATATGCAAATTAACTACCACTCTGCTACACACACCAGCCATGCCCACCAGACAATAAGGAATGAGTATGCAAATTAACTCAACCATGGTGGCTCCAGCCACTTTGAGAATAGGAGGGAGGCTTGGGTATCCCCAGAAGAAGCCAAGCTTTCCGCCTGCCTTAGCTGGCCCAGACCACCAATAAGGCTACAAAGTTTCAATTATATAACATAAATAGATCCCAACAGAAATGGCTGCCATCCCAGAGTGAGCAGAAGGCTTGGCTCTGCTCTAGACTACAAAGTTTCAATTGTATTATAGAAGATAAATAAATCCCCGATACCAGGGCCTCCACTTGTGGGGGGAAGGAGGAAGGGCGGCCTGCGAACCACCACAGGCCCCTCACCAAGGCTGCCCCACACCCCAAGGGAACCCCACCCTGATCCGGGACACTCTTCAGGGCAAACCAGCTGGCTCCCACCCATGCACCAGGCCTCTATCCTATCTAATAAAAGAGTAATATGCAGGTTGACCATCACTCCAACACACAAGATCAAGATGGCTGCCCCCATGTGGACACAAGATGGCCACCACAAGATGGCCAGCAGGGGATGGCAGTTGGGAGGCACCAGGCCTGCAAGGGAGGGCAGTTGGGAGTAATCAGCCCTGAAGGGGAGGGCAGTGAGGGGTGACCAGGCTGGCAGAGGAGGGAAGTTGAGGGCAAACAGACTGGCAGGGGAGCAGTTAAACATCAATCAGGCTGGCATGGGAGTGGATAGGGGGTGATCAGGCTGTCAGGCAGAAGCAGTTAGGGGCAATCAGGAAGGCAGGCAGCCAGGCAGGCAAGCAGTTGGGAGCCAGCAGTCCTGGATTGTGAGAGGGGTCCCAGATTGTAGAGGGTGCAGGCTGGGCTGAGGGACACACACCCCCGTACACAAATTTCATGCACCGGGCATCTTGTAGTTTGTATAAACTCTTAAATGTTCTTGAGCAGAGTTGCATGCATAGGAAGTGAAATATATTGTTATTACAATAACAGTTTATATTGGTGCTTACCTTTGGCATTGCTACAAGGACATATTTTTAATTAAACAAACCACCATTTTATTTTATTTTATTTTATTTTATTTTTAAATAAAGTTTTCTGTCACGATTTCTTCCAATATGTTTTCAGTATCTTGCTCTCTCTCTTCTGGGACTCCCCCTAATTCTGATGTTGGTTCGCTTGCAATTGTCCCAGAGGTTTCTTACACTATCTTCAACTTTCTGGATTCTCTTGTCTTCTTGCTTCTGCTGGAGGAGTGTCCTCTGGCTCTTTATGTTCCAAATCTTTGACTTGATTCTTGCGATCTTCCATTCTGTTTTTAGGACTCTGTATATTTTTTATTTCAGAGAATGTATTCTTTATTTCTTGTTAATCCCTTATTATTTCTAGTTGATCCTTTATTATTTCTAGTTGATCTTTTCATATCTTCATAGGTCTTGTTTATTTTATCGGCCTTTTCTAGGAGATTCTTGAAAAACCTTATAAGCATGGTTTTGAATTCTAAATCCAGTCGCTTTTTGTCCTACATTTCTTTCGTTTGTGATCTGTTTTTTTGTCTCGGCATTTTCGCTGCTTCCCTGAGTTGGTAGGGTGGGAGGATCAGCTGTATCTATGCTAGGAGACAGCCTTATTCGATTAGACTTGGAAAACTGCAAGAGCCTCTGTGCTCAGCTTGGATGGAGCCGAGTTTCAGGGTGGAGCCTACAACCTTGGCTTCCTGTCAGCCCCGCCCTATGAGGTTCCTGAGTCTCAGTGTTCCTCAGTGTCCTTTGGTACTCGCTGCAAGCACCTCTGAGAGAAAGGAGTTTCATCCACTACCAGACAGTCTAGTCTCTCCCCCAACGAGCCCGCAACTGGGATTCAGTGCAGTTGGAAGTGGGGTTAAGAGCAGTCCGGAGCTTATGTCTCCTTCCTGCTAGGGCAATCCAGTGGCTCAATCAACAGTCTGTCCTCTGTGTGAAACGTGCGCAACTTCGGGGCTCTGCCTTTCGCCGCTCCCCTGAGCTTCCGCCTTACAGCCCAGATTCCCTCTGTATGAGCCTGGGGCCCGAGGGTCTCCCCCAGAACTGAGGTCCAGTGCTGTCGGAACTGGGGTTCAGCACAGTCCGGAGCTTTTATCTCCTTCCTGCTAGGGAACAGCAGCCAAGCACTCAGCCTCCCGCACCTCTCTGGCTCCGTCCTCTCCGCACATACTACGTGTCTCTGTACCTTAGGCTTCTACAGCTCCTCTCATTTTCCTTCTGGTTTTCTCTTTCCTTCTCATTGTAGAATTTCCAGCCAGTCAACTTTCCTGTAGTTCTGTATAATGTCCACTTTATATTTTAGTTGTATTTTTTGAAATTGTTGTGTGAGGCCGAAACCGGTTTGGCTCAATGGATAGAGTGTCGGCTTGGGGACTGAAGGGTCCCGGGTTCGATTCCGGTCAAGGGCATATACCTTGGTTGCGGGCATATCCACAGTAGGGGGTGTGCAAGAGGCAGCTGATCGATGACTCTCTCATCGATGTTTCTAACTCTCTATCCCTCTCTCTTCCTCTCTGTAAAAGAATCAATAAAATATATTTTTAAAAAAAAGAAAGAAAGAAATTGTTGTGTGAGGCTGCAGTTAGGCGGTTACCTATGCCGCCATCTTGGTTTCCTCTCTTATTTTATTTTTTAAATAAATCTTTATTGTTCAGATTATTACAATTGTTCCTCTTTTTTCCCTCCATTGCTCCTCTCCACCAGGTTCCTACCCCACCCTCTGCCCTTTCCCCACCCCCTACTGTCCTCATCCATAGGTGTACTATTTTTGTTCAGTCTATTCCCACACCCCCCATTCCCCTTTTCCCTGAGAATCGTCAGTCCACTCTCTTTCTATACCTCTGATTCTATTATATTCACCAGTTAATACTGTTCATCAGATTTTTTAATTCCCTTGGTTTTTAGATTCACTTGTTGATAGTTACGTATTTCTTGTTCATAATTTTTGTCTTATTGATTTTTTACAGAGAGGAAGAGAGAGGGATAGAGAGCTAGAAACATCTATGGGAGAGATACATCAACCAGCTGCCTCCTGCACACCCCCTACTGGGGATGTGCCCGCAACCAAGGTACATACCCTGACTGGAATCGAACCTGGTACCCTTGAGTCCGCAGACTGACTCTCTATCCACTGAGCCAAACCGGTTTCGGCCAAACCACTATTTTAGTTCATTATCATCCTCAGGACCATCAGTGTTTTCTATTCTGTCTGATCATCAGTAAGAACATGTATTAGTTTCCTAGGACTGCTGTAACAAAGTACCACAAACTGAGTCACCTAAAATAAGAGGAATTTATTCTCTCACAGTTCTGGAGCTAAGAGTCTGAAATCAGGGTGCTTTCAAGGCCATGTTCCCGCTAGGACTCTGGGTAGAATCCTTCTTTATCTCTTCCTAGTATCTTGTGGTAGCCATCAATCTTTGGAGTTTTTGGCTTGCAGATAAATTACTCCATTTTCTGCTTCTATCATTACTAGTGTTCTCCCTATGTGTCTGTTTTCATCTATCATTTTGCCTCTTTTTTTTTTTTTTTTTTTTTTTTTTTTTTTTTTAAATATATTTTATTGGTTTTGTACAGAGAGGAAGAGAGAGGGATAGAGAGTTAGAAACATCGATGAGAGAGAGTCATCAATCAGCTGCCTCTTGCACACCCCCTATTGGGGATATGCCCGCAACCAAGGTACATGCCCTTGACCGGAATCGAACCCGGGACCCTTCAGTCCCCAAGCCGACGCTCTATCCATTGAGCCAAACCGGTCCCGGCCATTTTGCCTCTTATAAGGATACCAGTCATATTGGATTGGGACTCACTGTAATGACCTCATCTTAATTTCATTACCTCTAAAAGTACTCTATTTCCAAATGAGGTTACATTCACAGGTACCAGAGATTAGGATTTCAACATATTTTGAGAGAAGAGACATAATTAAACCTGTAATATAGCACTATGCTCTGTGAGATATTAAGTTGAGGCTTCAGTAACATTACTAATTTTAATAGTTTTTAATGAAAGTTTCATGGTATATTTCTGTCTTAAAAAATGATAATGCTCCCTCTCCCGTATACAATAGGCTCCAAAGATGTCATTGATCACACATGTCTGTTTTACCTTCTTCTAAGCATAAATGTTGGAAAGAAATCAGAAATGATTGGTTCTGTAACTAGGACTTGTCAGACATGTTCAAAAGTAGCATCTTTCAAATCACAGTTTATGTTCTCCCCCATCCCCAATAAAACAAGAGTGTGTGAATGACATTTGGAACAGCTGTTGATTGCTTATATATACCACAATTACTGGACTCTTATACATAGACCAGTTTAAGCAGTGCCAGAATCCATCACTGTACTGAAATAAAAGAACGTGGTTTATGAAATTGTATTCATATGTGTTAGATTAAAAATGACAAGTGTACAGAACATAACTGTGGGACAAAGTTAAAAGTACAGATTACTATCTTCTGAGCACCAGTTTAGAGGTCTCTTTGGTAGTTTCAATTGTTTTTAATAATGCTCCCCAGTATTATTTTACTCATAAATTCTATTATCTCTACTCTTCCACAACACAATTATTTTAGTGTCTTTGACTCCTTAGTATCCTAGTCTGGTAAATACAGCACTCTTGGGTGCAGGAGTGGAGAATCTGGATTCCTTTTATAAAACAAAGACCATCACCCTATTCCTCTCACACCACACAGAGATACTGAGACATTTTTCACATTTATTGCTCCCACCAAGTATTGAGCTCTGCCTTTAATATTTAACCAGTTGCTTATTTGATTGTGTTATTCTATTATTTTAAATTAAGTCATTGACTTCTTATATTCTTAGGGTACTTCTTTTTGCTTAAGTTTTAAATATGTAACAGTAATGAAAAGTTTACTTATTCTTTTTTCCTTCTTTGTTTTAAAACAATTCAGGGCAATCTAGAGCAGCTATGATACCTCCCAAGCATCCACGGCAGCCTAAGGGGACTTTGGATGATGCCATAACCTTTGGTGGGAAAACAGACCAAGAAGCACCTAATGCTTCCCAAGCTGAACCACCCCCACTGCCAAAGAAAATGATCTTAAGAGCCAACACAGAGCCAATCTCCAAAGACCTCCAAAAATCTATGGAAACTAGTCATTGTGTCATGGCTAATCCCACCTATGATATCGATCCCAACTGGGATGCCAGCAGTGCTGGCTCTTCCATCAGTTATGAACTCAAGGGACTGGACACTGAGTCTTACGAATCCTTAGAGAGACCTTTACAGAAGGAGCGACCAGCAGCAAACAGCATTTCCAGTTTAACCACTCTCAATATTAAGGATAGGTTTTCCAACAGTATGGAGTCCCTGTCCAGTCAACGTGGTCCCTCTTGGAGACAGGGCCAAGGCATCCTGAAGCCACAGAGACATGCACTTTATCGAGGACTTGAGAATCGGGAAGAAGTGGTGGGAAAAATCCGAAGCCTTCATACAGATGCCTTAAAGAAATTGGCTATTAAATGTGAAGACCTCTTTATGGCTGGGCAGAAAGACAAACTCCGTTTTGGGATGGACAGCTGGTCAGATTTCAGGCTAACCAGTGACAAGCCATGTTGTGAGGCAGGTGATGCAGTTTACTACACAGCTTCATATGCAAAAGATCCACTTAGTAGTTACGCAGTCAAGGTAAGAAAATATTATAAATCTGATTCTAATCTTCAACACACTTTTATTGGGATGGCTTTGTTCTTTCTTCCATTCTTCCCATCAGCAAAGGTTTTTGAGCATCTACCTCATACCAAATATTATAATAAGCAGGAGCCTTATCTAGAGGATACAACAGAGACAGGCCTGCAACACAGATACTGAATGATAAGATAAGGGTAAACACCATTCTTAGGAATTTAGAAGGACCTTAGCTCAAAAGGTCAAAGAAGTCTAAGGCTGCTATACAAATGAAGTCTGTTATTACGTGCTTTCTACTCCATTTTTCTTTATTCTCTAGCAAATAAGAGACCATTGTCTTTCCCTGCTCTGGAACTTCTCTGCTTCCTCCATAAATATTTTTATAAAGGAAGATAATATTTGTTAATGTGCCATTAACTATGTTAGTGTTATAATTCAATCTTCACATCAATTTTTCTGAAGTTAAGATTGTTTTTATCCATTTGGCAGATGAGGAAAATAAAGCTCAGAGTGGTGATCTAATTTTCTTAAGCTCACACAGCTAGAAATTAGTAAAGCTGCACTTAATTACCAATCTCTCTGACTCCACGGTCTATACTTTGTCCATTATGTCACATATTAATTTCATAATGTATATTGCTCATTCCAGACAACCCACTTTTAAAAGGGCTAAAACTCAACATTAAGCATTCTTGTCCTATTACATTCACTGAAACAAATTTACTGTCTAAGGCTTCATCTTGTAATAAATAAAGCATGGTCTTTGTGGTCCAAAAGATCTGGGTTCAGATCCTGGCTCTGCCACTTAGTAGTTTTATCACAAGTTGCTACTCTAAGTTTTAACTTCCTCAGCTTTAAAAAGGGATAGTAATGGTATTTATAGTACTGTTTGGCTAAAAGAGAACAAAATGTTCCTGATGAGTGCTCATTTCTTTCACTGTCTCTTAGTTTCTTCAGATGTTACTTTAATAGAGTGGCAATAGTGAGCCTCAGTTTCTTCATCTTTCAAGAGTTTTCAGTGATAATACATCTACTTTGTGGGACTGATGTTATTGTCAAGTGAGATAATGCATATGAGAGTTTTTAAAAACACAAGTTCTATGTAAACTCGAGGTAAAGTTCTATATTTCCATAATTCGTTTTTACTGATTCTATACACTGGTTCAAAATCAGTGAACATACCCAAATGACTTCTGAGTGATAATTTAGCTTAGAAAGACTAGATGGTGTCTTAGTAAATTAATAGGTAAGTTACTGGCCTTCTCTGTCTGTCAAGACAGAATGTACACCTGGACTAGGCCTTTAACTAGCTGTCATCTGCAATTGCAGCACCTACACCTTGGAACTGTCTGGTGCCAATGACAGGGTGACTCTGGGTCTTGACCCACACTTTTTAAACTGAGAGATAAACTACAGAGAGAGAATCTGGATTCAAGTTAACATATTACTATGGAATCTGAAAAGGCATTTTGAGATTCTGGATAGCACTCAAGAGCTATTATAGCCCAGCCAGTTTGGCTCAGAGGTTGAGCATTGAGCTCTGAAATAGGTCATTAGTTTGATTCCCAGTGGTCAGGGCACATACCCGGGTTTCAGACTAGATCCCCAGTAGGGGGCTTTCAAGGGACAGCTGATCATTGATTCTCTCTCATCATTGATGTTCCTATCTGTTCCTATCTCTCTTCTTTCCCTTCCTCTCTGAAATCAATAAACATATATATACTTCTAATACACACACACACACACACACACACACACACACACATACATATACTAGAGGTATGGTGCACAAAATTCATGCATGAGTAGGGTTTCTAGGCTTGGCCGGCAATCAGGGCTAATCAGGGCCTTCCTTCCCCCAACTGCCGGCTGCCAGTTACTGGCTGGGGCCTTCCTTCATTCTATGCCACCCCCGGGTGGTCAGTGCATGTCATAGTGGGCAGTCAAACTCCTAATCGGTCAAACTCCTGAGGGGACAATTTACCTATTAAACTTTTATTATATAGGATATATATATATATATATATATATATATATATATATATATATATATTTTTTTTTTTAAGAGCTATTATATCATAAGGGGCCTCATCTATCTTGGGCCTTTGTTGTTATAAAACAAAGTACCTATTTCAGAAAGGAACATGTGTTATTTTAAAACAATTGAGAAGTAGGGCTGGACTAACTTATGTATTATTGCAATGCAGTCTTGTCTTTTTCCCAAATGAATGATCTGGTATATTTCTCTGCTTATAATGATGCAAGAGCAATGTCCAAAATACAGGTGGCAAGTGGTGATATGCGGGTATATATGTAAGACATATTTGAAAAATAATGTCTTACACTAAATGGTGAATGTAATGTCTCATTGAAAACTATTTGGGCCAAAACTCAACAACCCTAGAGAGAGAAACTTCTAGGACACTGTGAGCTCTTCTTTTGCAGAGATAAACAAAACAGATAGTGGTTGGCTCACACAACTTTTTATTGTTTGTCTTCTTAACACAATGTGGACTAGTAGTTTTATTGCTAGCTTTATCCAGTGGCCAGATAAGTTTCTTTTGAATGAGTACAAAAAATGTTTTTCATAAATGTTAAAGACACACTTTAAAATTAATTACCCATTGTATTTTGAAGTTATTTATTACATGTTTTTACAAGCTGATATCTTTCTAAAGTATGATACTTGGTAAAACACTGTGTAATACGAAACGAGAATTCTCGTGATCTGTCTGCAATGTATTAAGATATGCCCTCCCATACTAAAGGAATCTAGAATAGGCTAACTGGTATGACTTTCTTTTGTAAATTTATTTTTCATTTACAGTTGAATACAATATTAATTTGTTTCAGCTATACAACAGGTGATTTAACTTTTATATGCCTTACAAAGTGATTTTCACTGACTCCTAAGGACCACATACTGTAGATTGTGGTCCTTTTACCTGGTGTTGCTCACACCAATAGGTTGAGACAGTATTTGATAAAGCAAGTCAGAAACTTTATTCTTTGGCCAAAGAATGGAGGATTAACTATGATATTTTCTCCCCGAATTGGGGGAATTAGGAAAGTCTTATAGGCTGGGGATAGGGAAGATAGACGGGTTTAGGTTCCTGAGGAAGGGTAGAGAATTTTTAGATTACAAAACATCATGTGCAGTTCTTAAATGTTCTTAGAACACACCTATCTATACATCTCAAAGTATGTTAATTTTAATATTGAATCTCCACCCAGGCTCATGATTTTTAGTATGCTAATGAAGAAAAGTTTGTCCAAAGTTCTCTTGCACCTGAACAGTTTTTTTTTGTTTTTTTTTTTTTAAATATATTTTATTGATTTTTCTCAGAGAGGAAGAGAGAGGGATAGAGAGTTAGAAACATCGATGAGAGAGAGTCATCGACCAGCTGCCTCTTGCACACCCCCTACTGGGGATGTGCCCGCAACCAAGGCACATGCCCTTGACCGGAATCGAACCCGGGACCTTTCAATCCGCAAGCCGACGCTCTATCCACTGAGCCAAACCGGTGCCGGCAGTCAACACACACCTGAACAGTTTTGATCAGTGGTTGTGAAGCTGGTGGGCTGCCTGCCACTACTTGAGCCAATTTAGCAGAAACAGGGTTGAATCATATATGAGCATTTATTCCAGTAATGCCTGCAGTATGGGAGTGCAGCAGGTCATTCACAGAAATCTGCTTTCCACCCCTATAAGCCATCTGCATATATGAGGTACAAAGACAAAGATAACATGGTGAAATAGGCAAAAGGATTAAGAATAGTATGCAAAATGGGTATAATGGTTACAGTTTACAGACAGTGTGGGCTGGGGTTTGCAAATGGCTGGTGCTTCTGGTTTCTGCAACACGGTTGTTAATCTTTCCATTCATAATAGGCAACTCCCAGATGGGGAGTATGGACCGCATTTCCAGGTGAGCTCCCAGGTCCTTCAGCAATTCCCAGTCAGGTTAGAATGTGCTTTCTTTAATCAGAACAAAATAATCCTTTTCCTGTCTGACACATTTCATTTAGCAAAACACCCTTTACGTCCAATCATGTCATCATTCTTTTTTATAGCTAAGTAATGATCCATTGTACATATGTCCCACTTCTTTATCCATATTGGTGGGCATTTGGGTTGCATCCATATCTTGGCTACTGTAAACAATATATATATATATATATATATATATATATATATATATATATATATATATATGAATGAATGACTAAGTGATCATCCAAATGTCCAACACTCAATGATCACCAGGGGCAAACATTCTGACCAGTAATTATGATGTGCACTGACCACCAATCTGCTTTACCCCTCCCCATAAGCCAGCTGCTTATATTGGGTGGAAGGACAGAGATTATGTGGGAAAGTAGGAATTACATGGTATGTGGGCTGGAGAGGAGGGTACAGAGGGTGGGTGCCTCCAGGACCAGATTGTTTGAGCCATGAGGTTAGAAATCTCCCCATAATGATAGGCAGTTCTCAGAAAAGGAGGATGGACTGCATTTTGATGTTAGTTCACATGTTCCAGGGCATAAAACTCTCAGCCAGGTTAGAATGTGCTTTCTCTAATCAGAACAGAACACACATGGTTAATAGAGCATGATTAATCCTATCTAATAAAAGTAATATGCAAATTGACTATCACTCCAAGACACAAGATGGCCACCCGCATGTGTTCAAACATGGCTGCCCACATGTGAACACAAGATAGCTGCCACACAAGATGGTCTTCAGGGGAAGGCAGTTGTGAGCAGTTAGGGGTGACCAGGCCTGCAAAGGAGGGCAGTTGGGGAGGGGACCAGGCCGGCAATGTAGGACAGTTGGAAGGGGAGGACCCGGCCTAAAGGGGAGGACAGTTGAAGGGAGTGGACAGTTGTGGGGGAGCCAGGCCTGCAGAGGAGGGAAGTTAGGGGTGACCAGGCCTGCAGGGGTGGGCAGTTAGGGGTGATTGGGCCAGCAGGGGAGGGCAGTTAGGGTCAATCAGGCCGGCCAGGGAGCAGTTAGATGTTGAACAGGCTGGCAGGAGGTGGTTAGGGGGTGATCAGGATTGTAGGCAAAAGTGATTAGGGGCAATCAGGCAGAAGCAGGCAAGCAGTAGAGAGCCAGTCCTGGACTGTGAGAGGGATGTCCGACTGCCCGTTTAAACGGACAGTCGGGCATCCCTCAAGGGGTCACAGATTGGAGAGGATGTAGATAATACACATAAAGTGCTAAGCTTGTAGACAGTCATTATTACTATCATTCAGTACAGGACTACCCTTTCTGAAGACTGCACTATAACACTTAATTCCTAACCAGTCACCTTCCCATTAATCCTCCTTTACACATCGTAAGCCTGGTTATGAAAGTGTATATATTTTAAATTGTATTATTTGCTTTCTTTTTTCAGATCTGTAAGAGCAAAGCTAAAGAATCTCAGCAGTATTATCACAGCTTAGCTGTTCGGCAGAGTCTGGCCGTCCATTTTAATATCCAGCAGGACTGTGGTCATTTCCTTGCTGAAGTCCCTAAGCGTCTGCTTCCCTGGGAGGATCCTGATGCCCCTGAAGAGGAAGAGAATGAAATACAGGAAAATGAAGAAGAAATGAAAGAAGAAATTGGTGGGGAAAGCCCAGAGTCCTGCTTTGAAATAGAGTCATCCCAGAAAGAAAGCGAGGGAGTCATTAGCAAGAAGCAGAGAAGTCATGTTGTAGTCATCACCAGAGAAGTCCCCTATCTCACCGTGGCTGATTTTGTGCAGGACTCTCTAATCCAGCATGGGAAAAGCCCTGATTTGTATGAGAGGCAAGTGTGTTTGCTGCTGTTACAGCTGTGCTCCGGCCTTGAACACCTCAAACCCTACCACGTCACTCACTGCGATCTACGTCTGGAGAACCTGCTGCTTGTCCACTACCAGCTAGGGGGAACCACCCAGGGCCTTGGGCCTAAAGAACTTAATCCCACCTCATCTTGTCTCACAAGGCTTATAGTAAGCAACTTCTCTCAGGCCAAGCAGAAGAGCCACCTGGTGGATCCTGAGATCCTCCGTGACCAGTCCCGCCTTGCCCCAGAGATCATAACAGCCACCCAGTACAAAAAGTGTGATGAGTTCCAGACAGGGATCCTCATCTATGAGATGCTACACCTGCCCAACCCATTTGATGAGAATCCAGAACTGAAGGAGAAGGAGTACACTCGAGCAGATCTGCCTCAAATCCCACTCCGCTCCCCTTATTCTTGGGGCCTTCAGCAGCTGGCCAGCTGCCTCCTGAACCCCAACCCTTCTGAGCGTATTCTCATTTCAGATGCTAGAGGTATTCTTCAGTGTCTGCTCTGGGGCCCCCGGGAAGATCTCTTTCAGGCTTTTACCACTGCCTCCAGCCCAGTGCAGAGGAATGCCCTGCTCCAAAACTGGCTGGACATCAAGCGAACATTGCTGATGATCAAGTTTGCTGAAAAGTCCCTGGATAAAGTGGGTGGGATCAGCCTTGAGGACTGGTTATGTGCTCAGTATTTGGCTTTTGCCACTCCAGATTCCCTCAGTTGTATTGTAAAAATCCTGCAACACCGTTAATGTATCCTGGTTGCTGCTTTTATTTTATCTTCTCCTTCTTCAAGTCACCCACACACTTTCACTTCCTAGTACTCACAGAATTCAAGGAAAGAAAAGAGACAAACTGTTCATTCCTGTCCACGAACAAATGCATTTACTCAGAAGGTTATCCACAGCTTCAAATCAAGTGATAAGCTGAGTCTGTCTTAACTTCACAGAATTTCAACTGCACAAACATTCAGTTTATTTTCCATTGGAGCACTGTTCACCCTAATTATAACGCAAATGCAGATAAAAAATGAAAATGAACATTTTTGAAGGGACAGCTCCTTTGGTATAAACTCAGTGAGTTATATCCAGTTGCTCCATAATTCTGAATTTTACCTGTCTTTTTAACATCAAGTATTTATTCTCTCTAGCAGTAGGTAGATTTGGCCAATTCTTACTATCATGCACTAAGCTCTCACAGCATACTTTTTCCCTCCATTTCCAGGCAGAACTGCCATCCTTAGTGTCTACCCAATTTTGGTTCCTAGGACTATATTCTTTGTTACAGTGGAGAGTAGAAGGACAAGGAGAGAACCCATCCCTTGGATCATGGACCCATTTTCATTTCTATTATCAATAAGGAGGTATACTGCATGAAGGATGGTCCTAACAATTTCCCCTCTGCTGCTACTGCCTGATTCTCCTTCACCACTACTCTGCCCCCAGTTGCCAATGAAGTTTGGGTTTATTGGCCACCTGTGGTTTATTACAGAGCTGACCCACAGTGCTGTCACCCTTTCCTCATCAGAGTGGAGTGCAGTTTAGATCTTGTAAAGAGCTGGCAATACAGAAGGAGATGATTTTTCTGCATGTGCAGTTCTCTAGGGACCACTGAAGAATAGAGTTTAAAGTACTGTTCTTTGATTACTGTCAAAGTTGACAGCCAGGGCTAGTGGTGCCCAGATTATAGCTTTTTTTCTCAAGCATTAATTGGCCAGCTTCCTTCTATCAGTAACCAGTATTAACTAGTCTACCAAATACTATAGATAACTGCCCTGAATGAAACAGTTGTCAGTTCACCTATAAGACTTCCTTAGAGGGCATGGCACAGATGGCTATTATAATTGCCAGAGGCAGGAGAAGGGGAGAAGGTCACGGATAAGACTGCTGCTGACCACCTCAGGATGCTGACCTTTTCTGGAGAGACTGCCTAACAGTTGCCCTGGCACATTGCTCCTCATGATTCTGAAATGGTTCTGGAGCACAGCTGACAGGGAATTTTTATTGCTGAGGGGTGTGGCTGAAAGCTGTTTACAGTATGTGAGGTCTATGCTCCTTTCCTATGGATAAATGTGCAATTTTTATATGTATTTTTTTTTAGCTGTGTATTACAGTATTTATGTTGCAACTTTACGTGAAGCAGAATCTATAGAAATCTTTCTCTTCTTCCCCTGGCACATATTTGCGCTGAGACACCTTCCATGGGAGGGTGTGAGTGTGTGTATGCTTGTTTTATTCAAAACTATAAGTATCTGTTTATTTCAATCTTGCAATCCCAGAAGTCACTTGGACAATGTGAGTATCCATACACATGTGTGCCTATGTGTGTGCACATGCATGATAGAAGTAGAGAGGGGCCTGGCTTCTGGGAGAACAACCTGTGGCAGACTTGATAGACATGTTCTCTGCATCTAGTCAGTGACAGAGCTTTTGGGACCCTCAACTCCTAGTGTAGGGTTTCTTAAAGTCAGTAATAGCTGTGCAGTATTAGATAGCACATTAGTGGCCTTTTAAAATTTATGTTTTTAACATTTTTAACAGCCTTTCATGTGATTCACCTATATCAAAGATTATCAAGAACAGAAAAGAATGTATTTTATTGTTCTTCTTCCCCCCCCCCCTCCTCCTCCTCTTTTAAGATAATGGGGCATGAGCTCTATTTGTAGGCTGTCCATGTTCTCCTGCCAGCAGTACAGGACTCCAAAAGGAGAGAGCTAGGTGGCTCACAATGAGTGTTGCCTCCTCTAGTCAGAGTGCAGGGCTCTGCCCCTTAAAAATGGCCACAGAGTGGGCATGCCACTGCAGGCTAGCAGTCCACTCCTTCCTGTGGCATGGCTGTGCTTTGCCACATAGACTGGGGATTGGTTCACTTAAGCATGGCCACATGCACATAACTCCTTGCCTAATTATACACTGACATAGCAGCATGCCGACCACTGACGGTGTCAACCAGCACATTCCCTTCCCAGCCTCCCTCCCCGGAACCCCATTCCCTGATGGTTTGCATATTGAGACACTTTCTCAATGTCACTCTTGTGCCTTGCCCATGTAAATTTTAATGTTGACTACTTAATGAAATTTCCTATTTAATGACAAAAGTCTCCTAGTTCCCCAACCTGTTCTCTAAGTATTTTTTCTTCTCTATTCTTTTTCTTTCTGTTTTGACTTGGATCCAGTCTTCCTCATTTTAACTCTGTAGTACAATAAGCATGGACACCCTCTACCATTATAATATAACAATGGCACCCCTTTATATCAGATATTTAGTACTGTTTTTATATTCAAATTTGTTAAGTATAAAAGATAAATGCCAACTAGCATAGAAGGGCCTCGGGCTTCTCAGAGACAGGGGGCTACATTAATTTTTCTCTGAGTGATGGCAGAACAATGTGAGGGTGAAAAGGGAAGGTGGTGTTACAGGTTGGAGCCAGACTGACTAAGTAACTTATGTCTGGGCAAAAAAGTACTCAACATTGATCCTCAGAATATTTTTCCAAAATCATGTAATTCAGTTAATCTAATATCTCAAATAATGCATTTCTATTTTAATTGTAATAGGAACTCTGAATTCATCAGAGAAAAGAAACCCTATTCTCAGACACAGACAGTACTAGTATGAGTTTGGGACTGTAACAAGTATAGCACTTTAAGTTTTTTAAGTACTTCAAGTCTTTAATAGTGATTGGAAATTTACTTTCTTTTCTACTGAAGTCTGTACTACAGTTTCTTCCATTTATTTTGAGAGTTCAGACAATAAAGCTGCTATTGAAACTTTTCCTTAAGCCACATGAGCAAGAACAATCTCTCTGACACATTTGGGTGCTGGAGCAACAGGACAATGGCTGGAATAGCCAAGACCAAAACTGAATGTATAGCAGAGTGATAACCCAGTCCAGGAAGGAAGAGAAGCGGATGTCCCACAAAGGACTAGGACTACGAGAGATATCCCATGCTAGTCTGAGAAGAGCCCCTTTGGTATATGCATAGTAATGTGATGCCCAGGCACTAGTTCACGAAGAATAACAGCAGGATGGGGAAAAGAGCAGTTGTAATATGTGGAATCAACACTGAAGAATCATGAGCCCTGGGTGTTTGTGCTCAGTGGTTAGAACATCAGCCTGCAGACCAAAGGGTCACAGGTTTGATTCCTGGTCAAGGGCATGTACCCGGGGGTGTGTGCAGGAAGCAGCCAATCAATGTGTCTCTCTCTTCTCCCTTCCACTCTCTCTAAAAATCAATGGAAAAAATAGGGTTGAGTGAGGGTTTAAAAAAAACAAAAAAAAATCATGAATAGGTCCACCAATCCCCACCTAAGTTAAAATTGGAAGGCAGGAGTATGGCCTTGGGTTTCAAGTATTGCCCTCTGGAAATGAACTGGGTGAGATATAGAAGGGGACACAAACTCTCACACTACTGATGTTAAGGACCTAAAAGTAAAAAAGATTTGTTAGGATTTTAAGAGTCTGAGTAGCTTTTCATTGTAGATTTAAGTGAAGATCAGTTTTGTTTCCAAATTCAGAATAAGTTTGAGAGTTAAATCTCTAGAAATAGTCATAAAATATCTGGGAGTAAAACTACCTAAAATTGTGTTTCAGTTTTTAGCGTTACAGGATTCCTATCAAAGATCTTTGAAGCCTAGTAGGATATAGAAGGATTGCGCTCATCTTCCCAAATTGGTATTAAGAATACTTTGGTGCTAGGAAGTAACCTGCAACTAGAATTTCCCTCTAGATTTTTACCAGAAGTGATCTGGAGGGAAAAAAATGCAGCTTAGTCTTAGAAATTGGAATGGGCTTATGATACTATACTATATCCCAAATTTTTCTAGATGTATAAGTGAAGTATGAATGTACTTGGAAAGGGAAAAGGGGAACTTGACTCCCTAGGCTAAGTCTGACATGTTTTTATTTCCCTCACTAGTTGATAAAGGTTTGAAAATTCTGGCCCAGCCTAATGAGTGAACAGAATGGCTGCCTACGAAACTGGGTTATTAGATTTGCCTCATTGAAGTTCATATTCTCAAAGGCCCAAAGTGCTGTTTCAAGACAAATTCAAGTGCTGCTCTTCTAGAAGTCTGCACCAAGGTTAAGCTGTCCATTCTTACAGCAGCGCCAAAAGTGGGGATTCCATAAATGTGCCATAAAGGAAGCAAAAGAACTGCAGTGCAGAGGCTACATAGAAATTGTACCTAAGATTTTTTATTTTGGGCCTTTTTGTCCTGATGTTTCTGAAGTGACGAGGTTGAGTTATGGCATGCTATGGAAGAATTCACATACATTGATGGTATTTGGCTAATAAAGCAATCCATCCTCAAAGAATCTTTTTTACAAGTCCATTTGTATGTTAGGGGGCAAAAAGAGGAAGGAGCTGATACGGAGGAAAGCATTGGGCAGTCTATGAAGTTCCTTAGTATTTAAAGGAGAAGAAACTATTCCCTCTCCCCTTGTCATGACTGTGTCTGTTGCATGAACTTCAGCCTGGAAACATCATTCATATCCATGTGATACTGAGGCTGAGAGTTTTTTTTTTTTTTTTTTTTTTTTTTTTTTTTTTTTTAAAGGAGATGGTAGTTTCAATAGGCTGGTTTAAAAAACTCTTGAGAAATTTCTTAACATATTATAGCTTTTATAAACCTTCCTACAGAGGTGATTACCACTCATCATCACTGTTATTTAGTATCTTAAGTGCCCAGAATGTACAAGGTGCTATACAGCTGTTAAACACATCCTCTCTGCCGCTGTTTGAAATTAGAATACGTTTTTGCATCAGCCACCTAGGTGGACTGCAGGGGCCTGCATTCCGACATCCATTTTTCTTTAAGAAATTTTCAGGGAATCAAAAAAGATTGGAAATTTTTTAATCTAGCAGAAGTAGAGAGTTATATATTTTGCTATGAATATTATTGTATTATGAAAAGTCACTTTGCCCTAATGGTGTGTGGAAAGTATATGTGTCTGTACCCATGATAACTTGAATGCTGAATGAGCCCTAGTCTTTAGGTTACCACACTGCTTCAGAAAACTTACTCCAGATACCAGTCATTTATCCCTTCCCTTACCAAGTTTAAAGAGTGCTGTGTGTGGACACACTGGTTTGGGACTTTCTATTGATATGCATGGCATTTGTGTGCGACATCAGGGCAGAAGCAAGATGTTGTCTTTCACAGTAATTTGAATCATGACAGTCTGCATTCCAGTCTTTTTCACCCCCCATTGCTCTGCCTATACTTTATATTTGAAAATGTTTCTATTGCTCTTTCCTGAAGCCTCACCTTTCTACTTATTTTAGAATTGTATAAATCTACCACTGAAAGCCCCTTTCTGTCACCAGGTGGTGCTGCCCTTTGGTTTGCTGTGGTACTTGGCTGTGTTCTCTGTGACGTCATGTTACTATGTAAATAAATTTGTTTTAAAATATGCTAAAAAGCAGAGTAGGACTCTGTGGGTCCTTTCATTGCTTCTCCCATTCTGACATGCTGGGAAGGATTTGATTGTGGACACAGTTATGTCTTCACCCCTAGGATGCATGCCCTCTTGAATTTTATAATCGATGTTAATCTGGACCATAATTTTTGTTCATTCCCTTCCTAATCTGAGAAAACTAGTCCTGGGGGAAAAAAGTGACAGCCGCCTACTTTCCCCAGAGCTCAGAAGGCTACAACTTTGCTATGTGAGATTGCTCCCTGGTGGCCAGTCCCAGTACAGCCTTCCTGGATTTGTACTGTGTGTTTGGAGGCTTGGTTAGCTGGCTCTGGCTGACCCCAGTAGAAATCTCCAAGCTGGGCAGACAGTATGAGTATGGTTAGGGCTTTGTAGAGTATCATCATCTGCTACAGAATTCACATGCCTTAAGGTATATGGTCTCACAGATTCCATATACAAAGGCAGACTAGCTAATTTTTATGTTTTTGTTGATTTTTATTTACTTTTTTAGAGAGAGAGAGAGGAAGGGAGAAAAAGAAACCTCAGTTGGTTACCTCCTACACATTCCTCGACTAGGGACCTAACCCTTTTGGTGCTCAGGACAAAGCTCAACCAACGGAACCACATTGCCCAACAAGCTAATTAATGTAGACACTTCAGTAGCAGAGAGAAGACCACCTGGCTTAGGCAGAAAGAGTCAGCAGTTGGCAGTGGTAGCAATAGCTGCCATATGATTAAGAGGAGCATGGGTGAAAGTGCAAACATCCAAATTCTAAATTTAGACCAGATTTTAGAGCTCTAAGCCCCTTCCATTGGGCACTGTGTCCAGCCCAGCATTTCTGATCTCCACAAGCAAGCACTCTGGACTTTGCAGACATGCTATTTAAGGCAGATTTCAGAAAAGTGATTACTAGACTCGAGCCGTGTTACTAAGTAAGCAAACCCATTTCAGTGTAGGCCTCTAAGCTTTCTCTGTATTGCCTGGGCCTGGGAGAAAAGGTTAGCAACAGACCCTAAGAGACAGCTCCCAGGGACACAGGCTCTGCCTAAGGTTCTCAGCCTGCTCTCTGGAAAGGAGCCTAGGGACCTGCCTTTCCTGGAGAAAGGAACAAAAGAGAAGCAGGCAGTCGTGGCTGAGAGGTCACAGAGATGGAGTGCACTAGGCATGGAGTGCTCTGCTGGCATGGATGGCCAACCCGGAGCCCTGGAAGGATATGAGTCCGCACGATTGGATCTGTTTAGGTTTGCCCTAATCCAGTGATCGGCAAACCATGTCTCACGAGCTACATGCGGCTCTCTGGCTCCTTGAGTGTGATTTGGCGTTAGAACCACTTCTTCAAAATAGACTCTCCCAGGCTGAAAACCGACTTCTGCACATGGGCCATGAAATTTCAATCTCCCTGTATGTGCGTGCCCACACTTGGTATTTTGTGGAAGAGCCAGATTCAAGGCACCAAAGAGCCGCATGTGGCTCTTGAGCTGCAGTTTGTCGACCACTGCCCTAGTCAGACTGCAGAGAAATACACTTTGTGTTCTTCCAATGGGGTCATTTTGTTCTTCGGTATCACTAGAAAGCCTGGAGAGAAATTATCCTGTTTCCCATCCATCACTTCACCCAGCATGGAATACATTGCTGGGGATTCCATCGGTGGGTTCTCAACAAGATCACCCTTCTCTTTAACTCTGGATTGTCCAGAAGTGATGGATCACTGACTGTACCTGGCTTCTTTGAACCCAGGCCACGGAGAACGTAGATCTTTCCTACTTGGAATGAACTGGTAAGAGGAGTCCTCCGCAAGCCTGGGGTTGAGTGTGGACCATTTACTCCAGGAGCTCTTTGTCTGCCCTCCAAAGCCCAGAACATCTGCTTCCTTTTAAGTGAGCCTGTGTTCTGTGAGGGTAGGGATTTCATTAGTACCTTAAGAGCCAAGAACTGCATTTGGCAGGGCACAAGTTAAGAAGGGCTCAAGGCAATTACAGCTGAAACTTAAAAATTGAATTTACACTGGGTGGAGGGCAGGAAAAAGTTGTTAACATCCAGTTCTCTCAAAGTTACAAACTTCTTGATGAAACAGGATGCCTGAGCACTGGAAACCCCAGATAACTCGCCACATGCTCTGGAAGGTGCATGGAAATAACCAGAAGATAGAGCAGTGTTGGTCACCAGTCTTGTCTCGGCTTAAGAATCAGAGTGGGCTTAGGAGAGGTGCTGGACTCCTGGGAAACCTATAAGGGAGTGGAGGCTACCAGGGGCCCCAGGAGTAAAGGGACTCTGGATCTTTACCAAAGGGACAGACCTCTAAACTTTGTGGGTCTACCTATCACTCACCAGCCCACAGTTGAGCTGAAGTCCTGGAACTCAGAGACAGAGTTAAAACTGCAAAGCCCGTGGCAGTTCCATCTTCCAATCCCTCTCACCCCAAATGCCTTTTCTCCCTGCCCATACTCTAGCAGAGACCCAGTGGCATGTCTGAAACTATTCCAATCCTGCTGTCATAGTCTTTCCAGCCCCAGACTGCCTGGGCCACGAATGCTACCTAATGCTGGGAACAGAACTCAACCTTGAAGCATCATGTTCTCCAGGCCTCCCTCCCTCAACACCTGGGGCTTGAAGTTGCTCAGCTTCTCCCTCAGACTCTTTCTCCTCAACCTCCCTGCACCTCAGCATGCCCCAGTAGGTCAGGGTAGCCTTCTGAGTGAGTGCTAACAACGGTTAATGCTCCTTTCGACCCAGTCTGACTTCATCCTCACTACCAACCTACAAAATGGCTCCATTCTGCCATTTTTTTACTGAAATAATCAGAGCCAGAGTTTGAATCCTATGAGAGCCAGAGTTTGAACCCTATATGACTTCTCGTCCATTACTCTCCACTCCATTCTGCCACCAATGTGTGGCCAGGACACTGGGAGTACTATAGGAGCTCAGGGGAGAGCAGAAAAGAACTTCTTCTAAGATAGTTATAGAGCATTGAAGAAGAAGAAGCATTTCCTGCAGTGTGCTGTCATTCTTAACTACCAATTGCTTGGAACCCACTGTTGGGCAAAGACAGCAGAGTCCTGCCCCAATTCCAGAGGGTGCCAGCTGGAAGGGGAGCAAGGTGCAAAGGTTCCTGCCTGCTATGTGCCTGGGGAATGGTTTAAATAAATGAACTTTGGTACCATCGGTTGGGCCAAACAACTCTTTACCTTGCAGGCAAAGGCAAAGGCCTTTGGAAACCCACTCTGGGCCCAAAGATGTTCTATAGCCCTACAGATGCTGAAGCCTTGTCACATTAGGCAGGGTCACAAAGGCCACCAGTGTGAACTACCCATATCCACTGCTTGCCTCCAGGAAGCCAGAAACCAGGTTTGAAGGGATTTTAAACAGATTTCTCAACTTCTGTGAACTCTATTCATCTATAGAATGGGGTCTTGTCTGCCATCTCCTCAACAGGTAGCCAGAAGGATGAATCAGTGGGATAAAATTTGTGCAAATTTTTAGATTGCGTTGTTAAAAAGCTGAACACACCCGATGCATTCAGAATGAAGTTGGGGAAAGAAGAAAGCATTAGATGGTTCAGATAAAACTGAGAAGTTTTATCTAGTCCTAGAAGAGTGAAGGAAAAGTTGTTTTGAAGGGATGATGTTTGAAGGGCAAGGCCCTGCTGGCTCCACCTCCAGAATTTGCACCCATGATTCTGCCCACTCTGGAGAACTCCAACCAACTTCAAGCGAATTCTTTCTGCCTTGCACAGTGGACAAGAGTTCTAGCCTGAGCTCTTGGATGGGGGTCCCCTCCAAATACTTGTGTCCTGGTGGCTCATCAGGGGTCTGTCTGAATAAGACATCAAGGGACACTCTGGAGGTCAAAGTCACCAGGCCCCAGAGAAATATCAATATTGAATGCATTGAATTTCTGAAGGTGAAGGATTCTGTCTTCTCTAGAAAGCCAGCCAAGGGGAGCTTCTTATGAATCAGCTGAATTTTATCTTCACAACAATTCTGTGAGCTAGGTTCTAGAATTATCTCCATTTTACTGATGGGAAAACAAGCAAGACAGGTTTTGTGGGGTAGGCTTCCCCACATATAATACTATAGTCCTATATCAATTCTACAGATGGGGAAATGGAAACTGAGAGTAGGTAAGGAACATGGCCAAGGCTGCACAGTTAGTAAGTGGTAGGGCTGAGATTCAAACCTAGCTTGGCTAACTCTCCCATCACCTCACAAGCCTTTGTATATTGCCTGTTTTATTGTTGTTGTTTGTTTGTTTTTGTGCCAATAGATAGATCTGGGTCCTATGGGCAATCCCTCCAACCATGACAGATGAGGGCAGCCAAGGAAGGCTTCCTGATGCAAGAAAAGTGGGGAGGGAAGGAATGTGCAAGACTAAGCAGTCTGATCCATGACTCCCTAGAGGACAGCTGACCAGGAGCAGGGCATCAGCTGAGGAGAGGGAGGCACTATCTGCCTTCAAAAGCTTCCCCTCAAGTGGCCCTAGAGCAGATTTGCCTCCCTACACCCCAACTCTTCAGGTAAGGAACATTAAATTTGTCAAATTAGAAAACTCCAGCTCCATCCACCCAGCAGGACCCTACTAGGTCGTCCCTCAGGACTGTTTCTGAAGCTAAAGAGGCAACTGAGAGACCACCAGATACCATAGAAGTAACTGCCAACTTTCTTTTCCTTCCTTTTGTGTGTGTGTGTGTGTGTGTGTGTGTGTGTGTTAATAATATGCTTTCCAACCCTTCCACTTCCACCCCGTCATAGTAATCAAGATTGTAAAGCATTCAACCCAGGCTTCATGCTTGTGCAAATATACACAAAACTTATACATACAACTGTAAATACTATGTAAATTGTTTTACTCATGTAATTAATTTAAAGGCTGACCCCAATAGACACCATGGCCATAGCACTTCTTAAAGGGCAGCTTCTTTCACTAAAAATGATAGTATTATATAACGTACACATATGTACATTTATTCTTATTATTTCTACTTTTCTGGGCACCTGTCACATACTTGTAGGAGTGGTTAAACAATTAAATATGAGAAAATATTAAATTTTCCCAAAAGCTATAAAAGCTATCAGGCTATGTAGAAAGACCATGTTGTTTTATCAAATATTTTAATGAAATTTGAATTAAAAATCTTAATGTGTTGTGTGTGTTTTTTCACTTCCTCAAAATGGTTATCAAAGTCATAAAGAATGAATAAGGGAAAGAAACCCAGAAATTGTTGAAATTGAGAAGTTATTTAAACATGAGATATGGGTATGAAGGGGGGATGTCAATGTAACAATAGGAGTAACTCAGCAAAAGTTTCTTTCTCCCAACCCAATGCCAACAGCAGTTCCTGATCTGGGGAGCAGTAAAGGAAGAAACTTTACTCAGAACTGTTCGCAAACTGGGGTAAGGGCAGCCTGAAGGGAAAACTGAAAGTGTGCTTTTCTAGAGAAAATTCCCACCCTAGATCCCTGATTGGCCCATTTCTATGCAAATGAGGAATGCAAATAGCACTGTCCAGATTAGTAAAAATTATACATTCTGATTGGTTGTTATAGAACTGCCCTGATTGGTCAGCAAGATGCAAATTAACAGATAGCTCTGTATTTCTAATTGGTCAGGGCAGGTCTCAGCCCATTGGTCAAAATATGCTACCAGGTACTCTTTAATAAGGATGGGCTCAGCTGGAGCATAATGCAGCAACCTGGCAGCTCAGTGTGTGGCTTTTCTTAGAAATTCAGCACCTAAGCAAGGGCTAGGAGTCTTGGTTATGATTTTGGACCCAGTTAATTTCAAGGAGTCCATTTTGGCAGGAATATTCCTTCCTGGGGTAAACATAACCTAAAAATAAAATATCTATAAAAATATAGAATAAGCCAAAACCGGTTTGGCTCAGTGGATAGAGCGTCAGTCTGCGGACTGAAAGGTCCCAGGTTCAATTCCAGTCAAGGGCATGTACCTTGGTTGCAGACACATCCCCGGTAGGGGGTGTGCAAGAGGCAGCTGATCAGTGATTCTCTCTCATCGATGTTTCTAACTCTCTATCCCTCTCTCTTCCTCTCAGAAAAAAAAAATCAATTAAAAAAAAATATATATATAATAAGACATCACTATATGGAAAGACAAGTCTTATGCAATAAAATGTGCTGGTACAATTGGTTAGCTATTTGGAAAGTAATTAATCACACTATAAAACAAATCCAAACATGATCAAAAAACTACATGCTACAAAGGAAAGAAAAAAGAAAATGTGGATGAAAAAGGCCAAATATTAAACCTGACAAGTTCAGGGGAGGCTGCATGGTTGCCTTCAAACTCAGAGACAGAAAGTAACCACATAGGATGGTCTGAAATTAAAACTTTCTAACTAAAAGCTATTCGTGGCAGGCATTCATGTCCTAGGAAAGTACTTTGCTCTAACAAAGGTCAATCTTAACTGAGCATATCTGTCTTTTTGCATCTAAGATAACATATTGATAAAATGTCTTCATAATAACAAAGTAATTTTCTTTTTTCTGGATCCCTCAGGACAATTCAAAATACAACCACGCAAAGACCACAAATCCCTCTCATTGTTATTGTTATTGTGTTAATTGTTGACTGTTAATTATCCTATGCCCACCTATGCAAAAGAAATGGTGTGTCATAAGAATATTGATTTAAATATATTTTTATTGATTTCAGAGAGGAAGATATAAAAACATCAATGAGAGAGAATCATCGATTGGCTTCTTCCTGCATGCCCCCAACAGGGATCAAGCCCACAACCCTGGCCTTTTGCTCCAACCAGGAATCAAACCATGACCTCCTGGTTTACAGATTGATGCTCAACCATTGAGCCATGCTGGCAGAGCTTACACCTCCTCTTTTGATTGTAATATATAAAATAAGGTGCAAAAATGTCCTTTCGTGTAGCATTTTCTCAATCTCTTGAGGTTTTACTTCCCAGCAATTGAAATCACTCTGGCTCAAATAAACTCATAAAAATTCTTACATGTTTTGACCATTTCTTACATTGACAAAAAGAAACCCTAAGAACTAGGAAGAATGCTAAGTCAGTATCTGTTTTACCTCTTATTGATAAAGGACTTTTTAAGTTAAAAAGCAATGGAAGGAAAATCTCGAGGAGAAGGAAGATGGCTGCCAACAGGAAGGTAGACTGCAAGATAGTGTGTGAATGAGAGAACGAAAGGAGAGTGTGGGGAAATATGGGGAGTATATATTTGTGGGTGAAGGATAGCTATACTCCAAGGGAGTGTTGGGGACTGCTGGAATAGGCTCCCCTGACCAGGCAGCCTCCACTGCTGCTGAAATCTCTCCCAGAGCGACCAGCTATGCTGCAGAGACCTCACCATCTTGAAGGGGTGAGTGGCTCTTTTTGGAAGCCTATTATTCCTGGGATACTACAACCACAACACCCAGGGAACAGCTGTGAACTCAGGAACACCGGATCTCAAGCAGTGTGAATTCATGGACTTGGATGAGCTCTGCACCTTCTCACAGAAATGTCAGATTTCAACTAGGAAAATGTGAAATCTGTGATCCAGGCTGGAGAGAGAAACGTGCACAATAAGAACTAGAGGTTCAGGGGAAGTCTGCGCCTCACAAAATCTGCAGCTGTTGGGGCTAATGTGACCTGCAAATGTGAAATGGGATCTGCAGGGCAGCTAGCAGAGGGGAACTCTAAAAATCAACCCATAGCTGGACTGGGCTCAAAAAGGCAGCCTGAAAATTTATCAGTGTGCCCACTGCCTAGTGTCAGGGGAAAAAAGAAGTGCACAGAGACGTTCACAGAGTTGCACTGAGTGCCTGAGGGTAAAAGTAACAAGTTCACGCACTTACTCTGGCTCTTTTTTTCTCTTTAAATCCTTGCTTTTGATTACTAAGAACAGTACATAGGATGACCCAATTGGGGACACTCTTAGAGACTGCAGGGGAAAGTTGTTTTTGTGGAACCTGGGGATCAGAGCAGGGAGTAATGATCAGAAAACCAGCTCCAGGGCAGTCCATTCTCCCAAACCAGTACTAAGTGCAACAGGGAAAACAAAATCTAAATACTGGCTAGAGAGGACTTATAGCCCTGGAGGTCAATCCAGAAACTCTGCCACCCAGGGGGTGAATCACAAATTGACTCTTGTGTAAAGGAGTCTAAGAAACAAAGAAATAATGCCTGCTGGAAAATCAGGACTGTGGCTTACAACACAAGGAGGAGTGAAATGCAGGGGACTTCTGTACTGTCCTGACTACCATACAGGAAACAGGCGTGCCAAACAGAACAGTAGAGGAAGTGAATGACCTTCACTACTATCATGCTTATTTTTTCATTGTTTACTTAAGAAACTAATTTTTCCCACACTTGCTTTTATCTCTTTAATTATTATATTTGTATTTATAATCAGTATTAATACTACTATTTTTCATTTTTTAAAGTTTCATTTTATTTTCTCTTTATTTTATTTTTGGATTAGTGTTCTACATTCTACTTTCATTTTCTCTTTATATCTCAACTTTACCTTTATGCCAACACTCTCTTCCTTATTTTTCCCCTTTTTTGGTCCTGTTTCTCTTACTCTATTTCTGATTTAGATTTCCCCTATTTCTTCTTTTTACTCTCTGTTAAAAATTCACCCTACTCATATATCTAATTCCTGATTCCCTGCTCTAAGTTTATAAACCACTCTCTCTTTCTTCACTACCCCAATTTTTTCCTCTCTGCCCCTTTCTTTGCATGTTTGTTTGGTTTTTTGCTGATGTTATTGTTTTTTGTTTGTTTGTTTTATTTTGTCTTGCTTTCTCTCTGTCCTATTGTTGTTGTTTGCTTGATTATTGATTAAATTGGTTTTTCCTTGTGCTTGTTTATGAAATTGTTTCTCTCTTTTTGTTTTCTTGTTTCTTTGTGTGTGTGTGTGTGTGTGTATGTGTGTGTGTGTGTGTTTGCTTCTGTTTTTCCTCTACTCATTTGTTATTAGTTGTTGTTTGTAGTTGGAATTAACCTATGGGTGCTAGTTGTTTGCATTTTTTGGGATTAGTAGTTGTTCTATTGGATGTTCTCCCCCCCCCATATAAATAGTTCTCCCCC